TCAATTTCAATTTAAGAGTGCTTTATTGGCATGACAAAAATTATACATTTGTATTGCCAAAGCAATTGCAGCTGGACTGCTTACAAATAGTACACATATGTATTAACAGAAAGAAAAAAAGAATAACAATAGTAATAATAATAATATATAAAAAGTATTAAGCATGTAGTGCAAAATGAATTACTCTCGCTCTCTCTCTCTCTCAGGATTCATTTCTACAGCCTTAAACAAAAAACAGCGTGCTCCATTTATATAATCCTCCTGATTTTAAGAAACCCTTTCTTCTCAGTTTTCTTTTAATTATTTGTATTGTATTGTCATGTGTACAGGTTTTATTCTACACTCTCAGATCAGAACAATATCTGAAAAAATAAATAATAAAACTGCACGATGCTCTGTGAATTTCATGAAGCTAGAAGAAAATAAAATTGTGCCAGGTCTATTTATCTATCTATCTATCTATCTATCTATCTATCTATCTATCTTTATGCTGCTTGCAAACTGGTATTTGCTACCATATAATTGTAATTTATTATCGGTTTCTAGGGCTGTAGGGCTTAATATTTACTGTATTTTGTTATTCTAGTTATTTAGGCCACCGCTAATGAATCGGAAGTCTCGCAAAATAAAAAAATAATAGCTTCCGCGTTTCAAACAATTAAGGAGGATAAGATGATTTGTTGTCCACGCAAATTCTACCCGATCTCATGAAAGTGCGTATCAATGGCACGAGTTTGACTTTGACATTGACTTTGGCGTGCATATGACACGCAATTTGTAGGGTTAGGGTTGTGGGGTAGATGCGTTGCGACAAAAAGTCCATTTCTGCGTATCAATAGCACGATTTTCTGTTTGTATTTGGCGTACTATTTATACGCATTTTCACACACACACACACACACACACACACCTTCAGAAGCTCAAATCCTCCCACTGAGCCCCGGTTTCCACGAGACTCTCTGACCAATGAGCGCGTGAGTGACGGTAAGACCGGACAGCACGAGACCGTTTCAGTACCTGATGATGTGCTCACGCATAGAATAGAATAGAATAGAATAGAGAATGACCGGTCTGCGGATATTGTGGAACTCCTGATCCTGAACAAAAGGTGGTGAGTAGCTGTACAGTTTCGTTGTGAAATGATAAAAAAAAAAAAATACTGTCATTTTTAATTATTATGACATAATTGTAGGACATATGAAGTGTTAGTTTGGGCACAGTGACACCTTTAACTGTACCGTGTCGTTATGCATTATTGAACAGGCTAATGATCGATTCTTTAGAGCTGGTGAAGCGCAGATTCATAAAGTTTTGCTGCATGCGTTTTGATCGGCAGCGGCCTGCGCGGGTCAGATGTCGCGGATCTCTCGCTGGATTTATTGTGACTAAAGGGATTTGAGCTCGATTAACGGCGCGATGAAGGAGAAGTCCAAGACAGCGGCGAGGACGCGGCGGGAGAAGGAGAACAGCGAGTTTTACGAGCTCGCCAGAATGTTGCCGTTACCGTCGGCCATCACGTCTCAGCTGGACAAAGCGTCCATCATCCGACTGACCAGCAGCTACCTGAAGATGCGCCTGGTGTTCCCGCAAGGTCAGACGCCTTCATTAACACTCTCGCGCTAATTACACAGGCCTCCTGCTGCGTTTGAGTCACGCGCGATGATAAAATAACAACAGAGCGTGAAAATAAACTGCTCGAAACTTCACTGGATCAACCTAAATGAACTATTTTATGCACTAAATCGGGTAGAAATGCTCTTTTAAGACAGCGAAAGTTACACACAAAAACACCTTACAGTGCCTATTTTTATGATGGTTTTTAGGTGCAGAACGCCGTATTAAGGTTCGTCATTATCAGGAAAAAAATAAAATTCAAAAGATGCCATATAGCTAGTGAATTCCTTTGTTTTCTAAAAATTTGTATTTTAGTATTTTTATGCATTTAATATAGGCTGCCGATCTGTCAGATCATGCATTCACTGAAGAAAAAAAAAGAAGGATTTATAGGCTATTATAGCCTACATTTTGTGTCACACACCTGTAAAGCCGCGTTTAAACGATGCGCAATGCAAATCAACAGAACAATTCTATTTCAAATTCTAGGCTATTCAAGCGTTATTTCATTATTTACAGGATACTTTATTTCGCATTTTATATTGACGTGACTTTATAGCAAGCGGTGCAAATAATTGTTCAGATTCCAGATGATTCACTTGAATTATTTCACTGCGTGTGTTTTAGATGGTTGTAAATAAAAATGCTGTCCTTTACACTCTTAACATTTTTTTTTATTGGCATCGATGGTGAACAACCTTAAACATCCATGGAGCCTTTCAAATGCAGAAAATATCTTTATAGTAAATAAAAAAAGGGGGGTTTTAAATGTTCTTCAAAATGGCTCTTTTAGGAACTGTTCACTGAAAGGTTCTTTTGGGAACCAAAAATGGTCCTTCTATTGCAAAAACACCCTTTTGGAGCCTATTTATTTTTAAGAGTGTAGGCTACTACGACCCGTAATTTTTGACACCTCCTCAGTAGGCTATATTGATTTTTGGTTTTGTTCAAAACGAGAAAAAAAAAAAACTTGTGGATCCTAAAAAGATTCCCAAGTGACATTTGACTCCGAATCACTTTTTGGAATCTAACCGAATCATTAGATAGATAGATAGATAGATAGATAGATAGATAGATAGATGGTGAGAGGGATTGAGTTGCTCTGAGGGTCTCGCGCGTGACTGCGCATTAAGATCAGATGAATTTCTAATTGATGCTGTTTCTTTCTTCTTCTTCTTTAAACGAGCTGAACCGTCTGAGAGAAACATGCTTTTCATTAATGAAGCGGTTTAATTAGCGCGATGCCGAACGTGAAATATTGTAATGAAAGAAAAATGTTTTTGAGCAGAAATCAGTGTTCATCATATCATAATGTTTTACATTTGCCCAAACCCGAGAAGAATAAATGTTTGATTTGGGAAAGTCAGATAGGCTAATAATAATAATATTACAATTAAAAAACAACCTTTTAACGACTTAATTTTGTTTCCTGCCCTTATTCGCATATTATTAATTTTGTCCCTGCAATCTAATGAAAGCAATAGAAACGTTGCCTTTTCACTTATTTTATATTTATTGTAATTTACTTTAAATATGGAATATGCAAGAAAAAAACAAATCCAGTAAATCAGTAAAATGAATTATATCACTAATGATATATATAGGCCTATTATTTTTATGATAAGCCTAATAATTATTATTATCGTTAGTAGTAGATTAATATACATATAGGCTAATAATGTATTATAATACAGGTAATAATTATAGAAGGATTATAGTAGTTATTATTATAACTTTCATTGTAAACATTGTAAATTTAATGAATATTAAAAACAAATCAAAATAATTGTTTACATTTGGTCGGTTCAGTCGCCATTTGAACCGAATCACGCAATGTGCGAACAATTTCAGTAATGGATCAATTCAGAGCCCTGTGTGTGTGTGTGTGTGTGTGAGAGTGTGTGTGTGTGTGTGTGTGTGTGTGTGTGTGTGTGTTTTTGTGACATCAATTTGTATAATGACAAAGGTATGACACAGGTATTACAAGGAGAAGGTGACTTTTCAGGACATTACCCCATGTCCCCACTTTTCAAAACGCTTATAAATCACACAGAATGGAGTGTATTGAAAATCTGAAATAGCACAAAGGCCTGTATGTGGGATAAATAGCCTCCAGGGTCAGTTTGCATCTTATGAATAAAACAATGGCTTTCATTCGACTATTTTAAAGCAGTGTAAGGAATTGTATTTTTAAGCCTCTGTATTTTTGTGAGATGTAAATCTAGAATAGAGTGATTAATGTTGTAGCGCGTGTGTGAAGCGTCTGTGTGTTCAGATCTCCGTCATTTACTTTCCTGAGCGACTGTTTGTTCACGAGCTTAGATTCACTCACAACATCTGCTTTTTAAGTTTTGTAAATAAAACAAAGATTACTGTAATACATTTTCAAGTAATAATTTGAGTCTTTAAAGTAATTATTTTCAACGTAATTGTAAATAGTATGGGAACATTTCAATTAAAACATAATTAGGACTGTTTTGGGCACAAAAAATTGCTAAAATTTTTCAAATTAAATTATGAATACAAAAAAAATATGATACAAAATACATAAATATAAAAAAATTATAAAGAATGTTTATAGATACAAAGATTATTTTGAAGTATGTTGTAAACCACGGCTTCACGGGGCTTATTGCTTTTATAAAACGGTTCCGTTTTATAAATTAAGATAGAAAATATATAAATAAAAAATACAATTATATAATTGGAGTATCTTATTTACATAACACAATAATTATTTTAGTCATTCTGCTTCAAAATTTCCCTTTAATTCAGTGTGTTACTTGCCATTTCTTTGTTTTTTGTTTTACTAGCAGTTTCTGGGTAAAAATTATTTCAATACCAATTTTTTTTCAGTGTATAAAAAGCAAAACACCAGGTTAATCTGACAAAAATATATTAAATTACCATTATAGACTAAAGTAGCATTATTATTATCATGCATATAAGCCCGACTGATGACTGCGATGTGAATTTTGCAGAGCATGAAGTGGAGCGCTCGTTCTTCTTGAGAATGAAGTGTGTTTTGGCCAAACGTAACGCCGGGCTGACGAGCGGAGGATATAAGGTACACACACACACACACACACCCACACACACACACACACACACACACACACTCTCTCTCTCTCTCTTTCTCTGGTTTTGTCTTCAAAGGATCGTGTATCCTGCTCAGGTCCTCCAAAGAGACAAAGCTCTGTGAATTGCAAGGTTGTGACGGCTCTTATCGCCACGGTCTCACACACACACCACACACACACACACACACACACACACACACTCTCTCTCTCTCTCACACACACACACACAACACACACACACACACACACACACACACACACACACACACACACACACACACTCACTCACCTCACTCAC